TAAAGGCTTAGGGAGGTGCAGTCCAAAACACCTTCCTTTTGATGAACTCCCAAACATTATCACTAAAGAGCCATGAGACAAACAAAGATCGCAGCCCAAAGTGTCCATTCGTCATGTTGGAGAGGCACCAATCAGCTCCTTTTTAACGTCCATCCAGAGCTTATGTGTTCATTTTGATGCCCCCAGAGAAGTCCGTTATTCCACCCAAGATACCATGGAAAATCTGTCATGCTAAACTATCAAATGTTTTCACAGTTGTCACTTCTATCCAACAGGATTTGTGATTTCCAAGGTAGATAACTGCAGCACCCAGAAGAGAAGAAGGTAAGTACTGTAGGCCATCTACCTCACTGATCAGGTCCATCCTTGGTCTCGCCGTAAATTACTACCCTTTTTGGATCTACAGGAGAGAGGAGATGAATTAGGGTGATCAAGGATTCTGTGTTTATTTTAAAATGTTACGCATCATTTCTTAAAGCATTAAATGGCCTTACTCTGAAGCACATTAAGGACTTAACCCCTAATGTGCCTCAGCATTTACTTAGGTGAATGTGGCCATGCTGGTCATTTCAGTGTTTCAGCTAGCACAGAGGATTTCATAAATGTGTGATAACACTGCCGTGCTTTATCCCATTATTTTTTCTTATCTTGTCATTCAATATGATTATTTTCTTTCTGAAGCATTTAGTAATGGTACAAAAAAAACAAAACAAAAACAAACACCCCCCATCTTTCTTATTATTACTACTGTCAGACATAGTGTATTCTGGACCTTGACTGCAAGTTTCAAACGGTGGCTTTCAAATAAATTAATATTTGAAGTTTTTTTTTTTTTCTTTCATTATAGAAAACTATGGGTAAAATGAACTAATTCCAGTCCTAAATCCACAGCCATTCCTTGCTTGGAAAACAGTGCCAACACATATATTTAAGACAGGATCTTTGTACCTTGTTTTTGCAAGTTGAAAACGGATTCCATTTCTGATGAAAGGAAACAAAAACACACATTAGCTCATCATGAAACATTCTTAAAAAACAAAAAACAAAAAAACAAAACAAAACACACAATTAAAAGAAAGCAACAGCAACAAAAAAAGGCAAATATGTAAACATTTTACAAGTTAGTGTTTTACACAGTTGACAAAATCTGAATTTAGGTTCATGCTTGATGCTGTTAAACAAAATTATACTTTTACATATCGAACAGCAATCGCGAGAACCCTTAAATGACCACTGCAAAAGGAAAATAAAAGCCCCGTACATTTCAACAACTGACATTGAATTTTGTTTGCTGTTGGTGATTAACTGTAGGGCTGCCACAAACGATTATTTTGATAGTCGACTAGTCACCGATTATTTTTGTGATTAGTTGACTAATCAGAGCATGAAAACGTACAGCTTATTGCACCAGCATGCATCTGCTCTTATGTAACTATCATTAGCTTACAGCTTTAAGTGTTTAAGGTATGTGCTAACTAAAAATAAAGACAAGATGATAGTTTATTAAATTTTAATTACATTTGCAGATTGTTTCGGTGAAGTTTAATAAACTCCTTGCTATCTAAAATATAACAGGACAACGGAGTATATTCTCGAGCATCTCACACTTCTGATAATCAGTTGTCTGCTTGACGTTTATTCAGCTGTGTAAAAACTATAACTTTAATCTCAGCCAAACTGATTTACTCAGGAATAAATAGAATACTAAAAAAGCCAAACAATAAAATTTTTAAGTTATCTAAGTGACTTATATATGTTTAACCTGAGTCGCGAAAGACGGCGGTGGGTTTGAAAACTATTTGCCCAGAGTCCAGGGTTCTCACTGGCTCTAGTGAGCTTTGCCCCGGCTAGCTATCGAGCTAGTGGGTAACAGACTTCGGAGCGCTTTTCAAAATATGTGACGTCTTGATAAACTGAGCAGATATTTGAGGTTTATACAGCTACATTCTCACCTGAAAATATGTTAAACGTTTATTTTGTGACCCAGAAAGAATAATAAGAGTAATATTAAAACTAACTAGCTGCCGCCATTGTTGGAAACTGAGCTGGGCTGCGCTATGAATTCTGAGACAAAGCTACTACTTCTTCGGGGTTTAACGGCAGCTGGCATCCTTGTACATGCACTGCTGCCATCTTCTGTTTCAGTCCGTTATTACACTCTTAAATCCTACCACTTATTCCTGAGTCTTTTGTGATCTTACAAAGCTTCAAACGACGCATCGACTGTTAAATTTTTGATAGTCGACGTAATCGTGACTAGTCGACTAATCGTGGCAGCCCTAATTAACTGCAAGCATATGTGGTGACTAACCGTTTACCCAAAGGTTGACTGTGTTGACTGCAAGGGGATTGGCAACTTGTCTACAAACAATCACAGCTTGGAATCACTCTCAGACGTACTGGTAAAGGTTTATAACAAACTGTCATCCAATTTATAAACAGAGACAGATAGACTGATTGTAACATAGTGTCAAAGTCAGTAGTCTGCTACACGTCTCTTTGCATCGTTTTATCACAGTTAATCTTCATGTTATCAAACTGACTGCATGTCATTGTTAACTTAACCCTATTCAATCACAAATGGATAGCAGACTGACTCCACCTTATTGCGGTTTTATCACCGCCTTAACACAAAGTCACTTTGAAGACACCAACTGACCGAGTGCTCACAGACCTGGTCCTGTATTTGTAGTAACTTTTTCAAAGGCAACGAAACTACTCTACAACTACCATTTGCCCTATCAAAAAGCCATTTTTGGAAGGTAATAACATTTTTAATATGGATAAGATATTTCGGTTGGTGAGGTGCAAATATTCGATTTCACCTTAGCAAAGAATCAAGTCAAATTTCATATGAAGTCATCTATGGCTGACTTAGTTCATTTCTTTGGTAGAACTGTGAGGCAAAAATCAGACGCTGTCTACAGTTACTCAGACTGTGTGCTGAAGCACTTTTGCTGAGGTTAACTGCTACACTAATTTTAACAGTCAGAACAGGTGGTGCCAAAACAGAATCTTAGGCTAAGTCCACACCAACATATTTTTATTTTGAAAAGAAAAGAATCACCACCCAGATGTGCATTTGAGGAACATTTCAGAAATAATTTTGGTCCAACACCTGAACACACATAGCAAGATCATTTAGAAAGCATCATGATGTAGAAAAACTATAAAACAGCTGCTATTTTATCAAACATGGTAAGCAAAACCTTAAAGAAATACAAGAGAAAAATAGACTTTTTTTTTTTTTTTAAACATGGCAAGAATTCAAATCTGGTTATTGGGTTAATGTTTTTGATAGAGCAGAGAGTGAAACTTACCTTTAGTGTGATAAGTGACAGCAGCTTTAACGTCAAAGGACCCCCAGCTACACCTCGTGCTAATGTCTTTAGAGAGAACCTGTTCTTTAGATGAGCCAAATAATAAAGTGGTTAGCTGACCCTGCGCAGGCTTAGCACCGTTGTCTTTACTGGGGGCCAACACAGCAGTTCCTGCACCTTGTGTCTTTTCCTTGCCACATGGCTGCAGCTTGTTCTCCTCCTCACTCATCCCATAAGCAGGAGGACAAGCATTGGACACAATGCAAGGGATACAAGTCCTTTTCTCAGGGTCTTGAACCAAAGGCCCAGGCTCTAACAATGATGGGCTAATGTCAAAGCAAGGCTGGGCAACCTTGGCTGCAACAGCTTGACACTCGCTATTAGATGTGACCACAGTAGTTTTGTCCTCTCCGGGCACCAGCCCATTTCCGCCTTCTGGGCCCAAGTTGGGCTCATTAATGAAGGAAAGCCCCCACTGATTCTGGAAGATATCTCCCAGGGCTTTCTGATTTGTCTGAGCCGCTGGTGGGTCAAGGTGACGAGCGCTAGGGAGTACAGGTTGCATATTTAAAGGGTAAATTAAAAGAGTACACTTTCTAAGCTCATATGCCTCTCCATCTACAGGACTAGTTGTGGAGCTACAGTTACTTTCCAAAGGAGATGCTACATTGTCGCCACTTAGGATAGACTGGGCTGATGGAATACTACTAGCAGCAGGAGCTAAGAAGGTACCCACTGACGGGCAACCGTTTCCATTTCCAGAAACAGGACCATTAGTAAAACTAGCTGAGGTGATGGTTTTCATAGCAGACATAGGGACCTGTGACAGTCTGACAGGAGGAGGCAGTGCCTCTCCTCCACCTTGAGCTACTTTGTTGAGGTTCTCTTTTACTTTACTTGCATAACTGATCTTGGGAACAATTTTAGCACTGCTATTGTCCACAGGAAATACTGGCGGAGGCTTGAACAAAGTCCATGAGTCCTCTTTTGAAGGTGAAGAAAGCTTGCCTTTGTGTCTTTCCTCAGTTTTTTTACCCAAGGTGCCAACTGTCTTTCCATCAGAGTTTTTCCTCTGAGATTCACCCACTGAAGCCTCTGATACAACAACCCGTTTGGCTGTCGACTGAGTTTCTACTTTCTGGGTGGCTCTAAATCCATCGAGTCTCGAGGTCATTCCTTTCTCATTTGTCTCTAGATTCAAAGCCCCCAGCTCCTCTGTAGTGTGGCCCTGCTGCATGTCTCTCTCCTTTTCTCTTATCACATTATCAGTGTTCTTTGTATTGTTACATCTGGTCTTGCGTTTCTTCGGAGTAGTATATCCACCTTCCGAGCTACTACCGTCATTGTCCTTGCTAGAATAGCCATTTGTAATTAAGCCACAGTTTACGACGCCATTTTGAAGTAATACGGAGTCCTTCTTATCCAAAGGTGGGCCCTCATGATGACTCAAATCCTGCACCTTCTCCTTGTCATTTTTAAAGTCCATATTCTTCTTATGGTCCATTCCTTTGATGCTTATTTTTGGAACAGTCGTGCACAGCTTTTGCGTCGATTTGGGCTTTGCATTTGTATTAATTGTGTGTCTGTTAGCATTGATGCTAGGTGGATGCGACATGCCAACAGCATTAGACAGATGTGGATTCTTCTCTCCCTCCTCGTCACTGATGCTTACTTTTTTATTGCCTGAAAGGGGAAACAAAATCAGTTCATACTGAAATTAGGGAACACATCCACCACCTTTCACCTGGCAGAAAACCTCCACAACTACTACGTTTCCTGAAAGTCTGTGTCAAATAATCTGTTTCATACTTGGAGAAACTACAAGGCTTTTATAGATTTTTTTGTGTGTGTGCGCACGCATGGTATCACAATAGCAATAGCATGACAACACTAGCAAAAAAGTGACTATGCAACTCTTAACCTGAACAAATCCAAGTAAAAAGAGATGCACATTAAACGTTTAAATGTTTTTCTAGTATTACATATAAACCACACCCATGATCTCTTTATTGGGTTTATAATTATTCTTATAGTGCTGTGTGAAATTAAACTTCCTAACAATCTTCCAAGATGAGCTGAGAGCTCACTACATGTAAAATTAGATATGCTTCACAACTGTCAACAACAAAGGACTCTTGCTTAGCTTCCCCCAACCCAGAGAATATTCGACATCAGAGACAAGTTGTTGCAAGGATCGCTCACAACAGCATTTATGGTACACGCACAGAGGAGCAATAAACTATTAACAGGCCCATGCACGGCAGAGACGCATGGGAATTGCTGTGTCAACGTAGGACTTTCCATTCACAACGGTGCTGCCTCAATGTCTGTGAGCACAGCACCCAATGGATTGCATACAGTCTCTCCTCTCTTACACAGAGGCCGGTTCTTACTCACTAGCAATCATACGCGTGCATATAGACTCGTAAGGACGATGCTTACAGTGTCAGCTCTGCGCCACAAAACAAGACATTGTCCAGTTGTTCCCTGGCTTCACATTGACTGGACAACATGCAACAGGCCTGTCAATGATGGCTAGCTTTAGCTAATGTCAACTAACCAGCGGCTCGGTTTCCACCAACACGCCCAGGAACTGTTGTGCCCTATCAGCACCAACAGCAACAACCACAGCAGCCAAAATGACAGCAGAGACATGCCAGAACAGCAAAGTAGGTTGCCTGTACAACAATTTCTAACTAGCTGTGGAACAACAGCATTAGCCAGCAGTGATAGTCTAACATGGCTGACAGGAAATGGCAGCTCAGAACATTCCAGTGGAGCCGGCTCGGTTTTCCTAAGCTGGACATGAGCATGCCGAACAAAAAAGACACAGATTTGACTATTGTTGAGGTCAACTTGCCGTGCACTCCTATCAAATAATGCACTAAGAACACATGGCAACATGGCAGGGGTTCCTTGAGATGATTAAGATGCATTTGCAAAAGAAAAATGGTTGGCGAAACCGGCGCACAAGGTCAATCCCCGATGTGTCAAACCACCACAGCGACAACTGTCACGCAACGTCAGCTAGCGAACTTGCTAACATAACGGTGAGTTCTTCGTCCGGCTATCCGTCAAAAAGGGCCAAGCTTTTCAACAGCTGAAACATTTACCAAATTATCTCAAGGAACCATATATAATATGAACTAATAGCTAGCTAGCAGGCTAAGTCCTCAATCGCGATTTAGTTCAAATTAGTTAGCAAAAGCTAGTCGGCTCACTGACATTAGCTGACCAAGGCTAGCAAGCATTAGCTAACTTTTCCGGATGGCCCAACCTGTTTTCTTCGTCTGCGTTTCCTGATGCTGGCACTGGAAGTGGCTCTGATCATTTTTTAGACAAGTTGGCTGCTGAAAAGAGTGCCTGTCGTCTCCGTGGTGATGGTATTGCCTGTCTTGTGCCCGGTCTTTGGGCTGTTCCTCCATTGAAGTGAAGAATGTCGGACTTGTTCAACCAGTATGTTAGCTCACTCAAGTACAGGACAGTCCAATCACTACCAGAGTAAAACGGAAGCTATTTGAAGCCTCTGTAAACGTCAGCAGTAAACGTCTAAAAATGGCTCTGTTTTGGGTGGTCACCGCCACCACTCAAATCCATGTCTAGTTATTTGTGCTGAGTTATGCAGGGGAATATTTCTCAACACTTTTTTTTCTGTCAGTGCGTGTATTTAATCGGATAACTGACAGTAGAATAACGAAGGAGCGATATTGAAAAAAACCTTTCGGGGTGGGCGATACCGGGGTGGGGTTCGTGTGCGAACAAAAATCACATGACCGGAGGCGCTGCCACGTCTCAAGCCAGTGGACACATGTTGGTGATGGCGAGACCAACCTCACTCCCAAAGTGGAAAAAACATACTTATTGCAAATTTATTAGCAATGCATTTGTGAGTGTTTAATCAGTAAAGAACATTTTTCCTGTTTTCTGAAAAAACAAACAACATTACTCTAATAATCTTTGCGTATGCACACAAATAATAATCTAAAAATATAATATCAATTGGGTAGTTGGTGCAATTTAGCACGAAGTGAATGTATACTAGGGTTAGGAGGCATTAAAAAAAGTAACATGCATTTAGTGCTTCCCATATTTGGCATCGCCCTTGTATACAGACACTTAAACATATACATGTGTGTATATATATAATATCTATTATAGGTTATAGTTATATTATATATAAATAGATAACACATACAATATATATACATACCACACACATATGATATATATATAAATTAACACATATATAAAACACACGTACATATGTAAACAGCAAGACACACATAGTAATATATAAACAATAAAATATCTAACCAACACACATAATAATAGATATCAGCAGACATAATGTACAACACATATACTATGAGTAGTACATAAGTAGCATAGTAATTACATAGTATATTACAATATACAGATATATCATATAAATCATATAATGCTAATATATAATATAAACACATATAATAATATATATATAACATATATTATCATATATTGACACATATATTATTCTTATTAATATATATTATATACGATATATAATATATTAACTATTATATGATAGTAAGTTATGTTTATATATATATATAATGTGTGAAGTTGTATGATATGTGTATTTATTATATGTAATGGGAAGTAGCTGTTTATACAGATGATGAGTTAAATCAGGGTGCCATTCATACAGGTAACGAGTGGGGACAGAAAAGACTTCTTACAAGAAGAGTTACGGTCGTGAGAGCTCAGGAACTTTATCTTGTTTGAGGTGACCAAAGTCTTATTTTCCACCCGATTTAACAATAAAGTCTTTACAAATCCTACCGATGTGATATGGTTTTTTTTCACATCTGTCTCCACCAGTTGAACGTGTACCTTGGGCAGAATTAACGGACCTCTGTCAGTCATTGAGGTGGGGGAATTGCACATCGGTGGCGGCTAAATATTTTGCCCCAGTCGTCTTAGTAGTTGCTCTTGAGATGTATGTATGGTATGTATGTAGTAACGATAATAATATTATATAGTAAATAGAGTATAGTATAGATATTATACTAGTGTAGTATATATTTTTATATTATTGAGTCTAGATATATGTATATGTACTATATATATTATTAGATATCTGTATGTATATGTAATAAATATAGTACTATCTGTATAAATTCTATAAAGTATATAATATTAATATATACGTAAGTATATGTTAATAATACATATACTATGATTGATTAATAATATAATATATAATTAAGTATACTATAATATAGTATATATAGATATCATAATTATAGATATAATAAGTAATATATATAAAATGTATAGTTAAATATAATAATTTTAATAAGTAATATATATATAATATAAGGTTATAATCTTAATATATATATGATATAGTAATTATATTACATATTGATATATATTAATATATATATAATCATGCATGTATGTATGTATGTATGCATGCATGCATACATACACACATACAGTTTTATATATAAGTCTTATAAAAGTTGCTAAGCAAACCGATTTGCTTCCCTGTTACTATATGTGCATGTAACATATAAGCTAATTTATTATTCATTCTTGACTGACACACAGTGTAAAAAGGAAGGTTTATGTGCTTTACTTTTGTGCAAACTGGGGTCGGCACAGTGCAACGTTGCTTATGCAGGACTTTAACGGACCAACAACACCCTCTTGTGGCTAAAAAAATTACAAAGCCATAGAGACTGCTTTGTTGGGGAAGTGAGGAACATTGATCATCTTCTTAGAGTGCAATGTTCTACTGTAAAACCGTGAGTCGTTAAATTGGCTTGTGCATTATTTTTCAGGCCCTTGTCACAATGCTGAGCCCCAACATACCTAAAAAGTAATATAGCAGGAAAAGTGACACTATAAGAGTGTGAATATTATTTGGTATTTACTAGGTATTTTGCATAGTGTTGCAAAATCATTTACCCTGAATCTAATTTTGGGATTTAAAATCTTACTTAGCAAGTAGCATCAGTATGTACTTGAAATACCCAGTGTAAAAACGGGCCTTTTCTGTGATAATACACATTATTGAGTCATAGTTACTTATTAATCAGTGTGTATATTGTTTTTACTTAATATACTTCTGGTTAGCTAATTCTTTAGCAACATAGCATCATATGTTTTTTATATTAACCTGTATGCTTTAAACAATTAGAGTGAACCCCAGAGTACAAACACTACATACAGTGTTGTAGAAGAAGTAGCTTTTCATACAATTACATGAGTGATGTAAAAGTGCATACAATAAAATTCAACTTCGGCATAGTATTTGGGTAAATACCCCATAGGACACAATACTAGGCCTGAATAATGTATAGCTCTAAAAAGAAAAAAGACAAATTTTCATTCAAAACAAAGGCAAGAAATTGTGGTGGCTGTCCCTTGTTTGAGCTAAGCTCACGCATGCAAGTGTAGTTATCCAAGGGTGAGTATAATATAGTAGAAGAAAACGACTGAAATGAACATCGATTCTGGATTCGTCATCGTGAGGGTAGCTGATTCGCACAAATACAGTATAGTGTCAAGGATCCTCTTATCTTTGACACTTTTTAGGAGGGGAAAAAAAGAGGTCACACTAGTTTCACACAGTCTCAGTGCTGATGTTTGCCCTTTTTCTACTTTTTAAAATGAATAATTCATGTGATAACTTGATTTTATAAAAAGCTAAAACCATGTGATGGACTAGAAATGTTAACCTAGCAATACCTTAAGAACAAAATTCATGTGATGTACTGAACAAGTTATTGCTCAAAAGGTATTTATTGCATGGCTTATTTATCATTTGCAAACATAATGAAGACTGACTCGGGCATCAGATGGAAGACAAATGTAATGAAATGCAGTTTAGCATTTGTGAGATAGATCTGATAGTTTTTGAAATAAAATGTCAGCTCTATTAAGCAAACATTCAACTTAATTGAATGTTGTCTGAATGAACCAAACTTTTTGCATCTGTCATTAAACAGTGAAAGGTAACACTATAATAACTTTAGAATTTCACATTAAATTGCAGATAGGTGAGAAACAACAGCAATGGGACATGGAGCACAGTGTCCCATCAGAACAGCTTCACTGTGCCTTGGCATTGATTCTCAAAGTCTCTAGAACTGTACAGTGGGGATAATAGACCCTCATTAAGTGTTTGGATGATGGCTGGTGTTGAGCCCTGATGGTTCAAAATTAGGGAATGCAAAACACCATAACATACAATTCCCATTACTGTGGATGTTCATCAAACCCTTCAGTGACTGTTTGTGCCCTATGGATGGATGTGTTGTCATCCTGTAAGACAACACTCCCATCAGGAAAGAAATACGTCATCACAGAATGAAAGTGATCGCTCAGAACAAGTTTCTATTGATTTAAGCAGACCCTCCTTTTTAAAGGGGAACGTGGACCCTAACAATAGCAATAAAATGAGGGACTGGATCCCTGGTGGCAAAACGGTGGCAGAAACAGACCATTTCTAATACAATGACAAGGTTGAGACTGTCGAGGTTTATTAGGATTGCAGAGGATCTTTATGCTAAGTCTAGATTATACTTTGCATTCACTGTAAACCAGATCTGGAATTGTTTAAGTGTAGAAAAAATGTACATTTATATGAGTACTGTAAAAATACACTATTGAGAAATTGTCCCACATAAAATGTTCTTCTAGTAAAATAGTAGTGTTTGCGTAGTGCTCTAATGCATCACCATTGGTTGTGTTGGGTGGTCAGGCTTTGTTCCGATGTGGCTATGGTCACCTCTAGCTCCTCCCATGGGGTCAAGAGTGAAGGTTTTGCGCTACTTTTCGAACTGTATTTATTTTAGCTGTACCAACAACGTGTTCCAGAGATTATTCGATAAGAAGAGACAGAGTGTACTCCTACTGTGTAATTTAGGTGGGCTTTGTTAAACACCAGTAAAACACACTTTCTGCAAGCCCTTAGGAGAACTCAGTACCAGATGTGTGCAGCTTAAAAAGCTATTCTGACAACCAAATAAGCCAGGTTCTGAAAAACTGAAACATTATTTCCTCACTGTAGTTAATGATTATTTCTCTGTGTTTAATACCGTATGAATAGAAACTATTTGGAATAGTACAGTGCTCTCTGGAAGTTGTTCGTTTCTAATAATACTATATTTTTTACCTTAATTGCATTTACATAACGTTACTCTTGTTCCTGATAAAATATTAATAATATCAACATCTGGCCAGTATGCAGATATGAAACTAAAGGTTCAGATGGTTGAGATGAATATTACTAATTCAAAGAGATCAAAGTATTTTTCAAGCAAACATATTTCTCAAACAGGATATTCAAGTCTTTATTACAGATTGAGCTCCTTCAGCAGGAAACCTAATATCATATAAATTCATATTCCATAATATTTGCAGCCTGCAATCAGACTCTTGATTCCTTTGAATCACAGTTACGGTGAATAACAAGTACATGTTTTCAATGATACTGCAGACACGTGTTTTTGCACAATGCCCACTGTAAAATTCGTGCACAGTAAAAAAGTAAAGGTGCAGTCTGAGTACATGTGAGGCTACAGCAACTGCACGCACAGATTTTCCTCTATAGAACTTTGACTTGATGGAACTGTAAATGCACACAGTAACCTAATGTGAAAATGCATAAGTGCTAATAAAAAGTGCATTTTGTTATTCAAAATGTAAAGAAACCGCTGGACTCTTCCAGGTCACAGAATTGCTCAGTGGCACTGAAAATGCAGTCAAAACACATCTTGCATGACTCAACTGAGGACTCAGTGAAGGAAGTAGCCAACTTGTTCATGGTCCTCAGTCTGTCACAGTATTCCTTGGACGTCTTCATGTCGCAGAACTTTATAGGTAACCCAATAAAGGACGTTAAACATCAGGAAGCTCATGGGAAAAACAGCTCGGGAGATGGTATCAATCCTTTTGGCCCGATCCACAAAACGCCTCCGTATCTCATAGAAACCCAAACCAGGAGGTAGATCAGCAAAAATGGGTGTTGCATCCATTTCCTGAGAGGACAGTGCTAGTCCAATACTCTGGAGCAGAAAACCCTGCTGTGCCAGCTCCTCCTCCTGGAAGACAAAGACACAGCACAGACTCACTGCAAATCACTAAGCTAAACTGTTTGTTTGTTTTTTCTTTTTTTGGAGCCAGCAATTGGCTGGTGAGCAAGGCAACAGTACATACCCTGGCACAGGCATTGCACTGCTGGGATGCATTCCCATGAGGAGCATTGTTCCCTGACATGTTGTTTCCTTTCACCTTACTGTCACCGGTCCCCTGCGGGTGAGTGTGGGGGGAAAGCCGGCACAATTATTTAATCGTCAAACAGACTGCACTGACTGAACAGTTTGCAAAACTGGCACAACTTTGCTCTACTGCATAGATGTCAGGCCACATGCATTGTATTGCACTGCAGATCAAAGCAGATGTCGGGTGTACTGAGGCATAAATATTATAAAAGGTATAAAGAGCTCTTCAGCTGCTGTCACATTGCTTTAACTTGCCTTAATGAAGGCCAAATTTCTCAAAAATGTGAAGAACTGGCTAAAAGAAGAGCCTCATCTAGTTTAAGGGTAATTTATCCTAATTTGTCTTCCTTATTCTTCCCTTTCTCATGATATCCATGATGTTGAGAACATTCAGCCAGCAGTAGAATAAGGTGATGGCTTGAATTAATCACAGGTCAGTGCTGTGTGCTTTTCCTGACTGGAGTGTAGCATGCAGGTGAGTAGCAGCTCGTGCAGAGCTGGGCACAGGGAATAGCAGGTGACAGCTGCCTGAGGGCCTGAGTGGGTGGGCTGCACTTACAGTTCTCTGCTGCTGCTGCTGCTCTTTGAGTTTCTTTTTCATTCTGAAGAACTCCTTGTGCTGGCGTGAAACAAAGTTGACGGCTGCATACTCCAGTAGTGCAGCAAACACAAACAGAAGACACACCGCCATCCAGATGTCTATGGCTTTGACATAGGATACCTGCATAACCATAACAATCAACTGTCTCAATTAATATCAGAATCAGAAAGAAGTTTAACACCAGCTCAGCTGAATGAAGCCTCCAGTACATATATACAAAAGCAAATACTAATAAAACCTGTCAACATAGCAAAAATAGTTTGCATCAAGTATAAGCCACTGATTTCTTTTTTAAAAATACAACTGGAATATTACTATTATTCAATTGCGTTAATGTGCATTATTAAGGTAGTTCTTCAGCATTGGGATGTGGTCAGCAAGGGGTTCCTTTTGGACTGAGTGAAGAAAGATGATATATTATTGTATTTTTATATTATTTAATTATTTCCATTTATAATATTTATGTTAAATACATTTAAAAAATTTTTTATTAAACTGATTATACCATTCACTTAGAAAAAAAGTTAAAACTAAATTATCCCACAGCCCGATGAAATGCATGCTAAGCTGACTGGTGATGCTAAATATGAATGTGAGGTTGAGTAGTCCAATTAGAAACTGAAATTTGGGTGCTAAGAAATTCTCTTGTTAAATCTATTTTATCTGATTTGACTTTCTTGGAATCATACAACCTGTCTGTATTTCCATTCTGACTTTATCTTTTTAGTAAACAGCAGATAACTTGCTGAAATTTGCTTCTGACCTTTGGCAGGGAGGCCCTGGAGCCAGAGCTCTGTGTTGTCATGGTGAGCACAGTAGTGATTCCCAATCCCACCCTTGCGGGAGCTGCATCCATGTTGATCCAGAACGACACCCAAGACAGGATGACAGTCAGCAGGCTCGGTATGTACATCTGGATCAGGTAGTAGCCCATTTGGCGCTCTAGGTAGAATTTGACTTCAATGCAGGTGAATTTACCTGACGACAGGAGGAGGCAGAGGTGCAAACTGAAAGTCTTATTAGAAGGTGATGGACAGTGTGTACTGAGAATGTAGGACAGTGGGTTGTCATATGTCCTGTACCTGTGTTGTAGTGCTTGGTGCAGTAACCAAGACCTTTCTCCTCTTTTAGCACAAACTGAGGGAGCATTAGATCATCAGCAACTTGCACTGCTCCCACATCCAGCCATTCAAAAATCAGGTCATTCATGGTGTAACCAACTAGAGGCAAAAGAGAAAGTGTACAGTACGCAGTACGCAGTAGTTTTATGTCAAAACCTGTATGTAATGTTTTCTTAGCCTGCCTAAGAAGATGAACTCACAGCTTTCAAGCTGCATGGTGCACGTCTGGCTGTCCATGGGGAAGTTTTTCAAATCCATGGGACAGGAAAGCGTGAGTGTCAGTCTGGAAAACAGAAGCAGCAGCATACTAGTATATGACATGAAAAGGTGATACCCTCGAACCTTATCCCATAGGCAAAAAGGCGAATGGGGGACTTGGCTAACGACCACCTGTGAACTCCACAGTACTGGCTATTTCTTACTCATGTCTCACTCAAACCCTTTTTTTGAACACTCACCTTACATCAGTGGTCACATCAAGCAGCTCAAACCTCTCAGACACCTGTCCTCCCTTCCATTTTTCTATTTCACTGCCCCCTTTACAGGCTGCAGAAAGCACTGACAGGTGCTGACAGACATCATGTCAGCCTTTATGGTGGGCTTGATATAAAAATCGGCTGAGACACACACATCACCACCATCAGTTTAAAAAAATAAAAAATAAAAAATAGGGATGTACCCCGGTTACAGAACATAAAGACCGAGATTAGAAAGCATTCCGTTATTTAGTACAGGTGTTGGCTTTATAGATAACACACAGATGTTCTTTAGCTGTCACAGCGTTCTTTGTTGTATTATGCTGTATTATGCTGTTCGTTTCACTGACCTATTTCTCTATTTTTCCCCTCCTGCACTCACAAAGCAAAGCCTCTCACATAAATGAGCAATATTGCAGAAAGGAGGAACATAAATGATCCTGGTTTAATGTCGTCCACAGACACTGTGGTTTTCCCCAAGTGGGGCCATAAATAATATAACCAACCTTAAAAAAAAGGATTTTATTCCTGTTTATCTTAATTACTAGAACTAATGCTTCTTTTTTTCTTTCTATTTATAACTCTTTACCATTATGCTACGATTTACCAGCGCTTTAGCAGCACATTACTGACCTGATTCCTCTTTAGCCTGCAGTAGCTGCTTAACAAGAACTTGCTCACAGTGCATGCTGGACACTGCAATTACAACTGAACTGAACTGGAGTGAAACAAATATGTAGCAGTCCATACACTTGGATGTTTACAGTACTTCTCAATAGACTTTATATTCACTGAGCTACCCATCAAAGCATTTTTGGAAATGTGTTTGATAGTTGAAGTACTATTAAAACTTAACCCCACGTATTTAATAAACACACATAAAATGGCTCACCTGATGCTGTAGAGGACATTTCCGTTCTGGAAGATCCGCAGCAGTTTGTTGTCTGTTGTAACCTCGTGAAAGTTTGCTCCCTTTTCATTTGCAAAGAATAAGTCAGGTTTCCAAATGGAGTCCAACATTGAGGGGTCCAAGTCCAGAGAGTCATCAGGGTACTCCTTATATGCTAGTCGAGGGTCATTCCACTGCTGCCGTAGAAATACATTGAGCCGATAGTCCTAAATTATGGAGGCAACACGTAATTAAAAACTGTGTAAACTTATAAATGATGAAAAAATGGATATATGCATATTGCATATGCATGCAAGTATGCTGCATATGTTCAAGCATCTAATTTTAGCGAGAGGGCAAAAGTAAAGAGAAGAACCATCCTCTAAGCAGGCAGGCGTGACTGTGTGTGTTTGGGTAGGGGACAAATGGTGACAAACAGGCCTGAGTGCTCCCATAACCTGAACAACAGCAAAGTCCACTTACAATTTCATCAATTAAAATTTGATGTCTCTCTCCTTTAGTATTTTACAAAATGCACAAATTCTCCAGGCTCTAAACGTGAATAAATCAACAAACATGACCAACCCCAGACATTCTCCAGAGGCCTTGTAAATTAAGGATGGCTGCTTATTTAGACAGAAAGACACATGAGAAGATCTTTGCTGACACTATGTTATGCATTTACAAGATGAAGCAACTAAACAGTCATAATCTAATGATAGCATGTTTGGGCATCATGAAACTTGGCCTCCACCAAGAGTCGGAGAGGAGCCAAACAAAAAAAAGAAGCTTCAGATGAATAAACAGTAAAGTGTCTGATGCATCTCATAAATGAGCTTTAACCAGCTCTGCTCTCCAACTGCTATTAAAGTCGTGGATGCTCATATTAAATGCGGCCAGAGTTTCAAATAATGAGGTCAGTGCTTTTTGGCTCACCAGTGAGCCCGGGGCTTCGGGCAGTTTTAAACACTCGTTTTCAGACAGATTTTCTACTCTTGGCTCTGTACGAAGTCATCCCAGGCTCACATCTCAGGCAGTGAGCACAGAAACCCCACCCGCCTGCTGTTTGGTTTGCGAGAGGCAACCAAACTGACCTGACACAGGGGAGCTAAAACTGCTTGTTTCAGACCGAAGATAAACCGAGGGGCTGACACCAAGGTCCAGTGTAAATTAACAAGGATTATTTTCAACTCTGAGTCATGCAGACTTACTTAATTAAGTTACTAAGTTGGAGCTGGAAAGAAGCACAATTGCCCCCCTGTAAATTTTGACACAGGAACTATTGGTCTGTGCTATTGGTTTTCCATTTGTTTTGGTACTGGCTTTAACTGGCAGCTTCAGTTATCAGTCAGAGTAAGATTAGTGCCAGTTATCATATTACAAAATGTTATGCAGATTGATTGTGATACTGACTGACTTATTTTATGCTAATTCGTGCACATGTTTACTAAGTAAAATACCGAATACGGGACCTTAAAGTTGTAGTATTGTATCTCTAAGCTGTAGTATAACTGCTTTGACTGAATTAAAGGATGTGAATATAGTTTCCAGTACATTATTCACATGTTCTGTGAGTATAAGGGATTAATATGAGCTACGACTTCTAACTTAGAGGCAATGATGCAAATTTATATTGAACATTATTACAGTGAAAGTGGCTACAAATGTTAGCTACAGACACTCCCATAAAAGCTCAGCTATTTATAGGCACTCCTTGAGTCTTTAGTCAAAGTGACATTTTTAAAGAGGACCTATTATGCTCACCTCCAACTATATATTTATATTCTTGGATTTTACTACCGTAGCTTTGCATGAATCATAAATCAAAAATAATCCTTATTTGTCTTATGTGCTCCTTGGTAGAGACCTTCGGTCCATCGCCTGTTTAGAGCAGTCTGAAGCCTTAGCTTTTACCTCACTGGGATTATCAGCACATACGATGTCAATATTAGAAACTTTGGCTGTATTTATTATGAACATCCACCACTGTAACAGTATATGTGACAAAAATAAAGAGATAATGGAGGTAAAGCCCAAAGGAGTTCAGTCACAGTCATACAAATGACAAGCTTTCATTTGCATAATTTTGAATATTTGAGCCCTCTTATTGGCAGAATTATTAATGTTCATTTAAATTGTCTGTCACAGACCCAGATTTAAATGTAGTTCAGGGTTTTGGGAAGGCCATTCCAGAAGTTTCATCCTACGTTATTCATTACAAAACGAGTTGTGATGCATGTTTTGGATTGTTGTATTGGAACATTAAGTTATGTCCAACTTTTGTCTGTTAAAGAAGTTAAAGAATTTAGAGGTAGTCCTCCTCCTTCGTTAATCCAGCCACTGTGCAATCTATCAGTACTACTGACGGTAAAACAGCCCCAGAGCATGATGCTACCACCACCATACTTCTTAGCTGGTACAGCGCTCTCAGGTTTAAAGGCCTCACCTTTACTCCTCCTGTCATTGTGGCCAAACAACTCAGTCTTTGCCTGACCATAAAAACGTTTGGCTTGTCCATCAGAGCAACTGCAAATTTCACTCAAGCATGAAAGCACTGATTGTGGAGCATTCCCTTCTTTCCTGGCCAGCACCCTCTGATGATCAAACAATCATCAGTTCAATGAATAAAAATAAATAAGTTCAAAAAGGAGAATCTACAGTTCTCCTTGTCTGATCTTCATTGGGTTTCTTGGACATTTCTATTGTTCTGAGTACTGGTCAGTCTAATGAGCACTGTTAATTAACTGTCTATTAACTTCACTAATAAACTAATAATAAAGTTAATAGGCCTTGGCCTTGTCAAGTTATAACACATTTTAGAACCTTCAGCACCACTTTTTAAAAGATTTAAGTGAGTATATATATGTGAGCCTGTATGTATACTCTTGAACTCATGTGGATTCGAGAAATTTGAAGTTACACACCCGTTTTTTTTAAGTCATTAAAATGTATGTTGTACAATGGCACCTTCGAAAAAGAGCAGATAAATTTAAAACAGATGTTTTCTCACCATAGTTGTTTCAGTGATGGATCCAAAGCTGTTGATGAAGATGTTACAGGTCACGTTGACAGGAGAACCTGACGGGAGGACACATCTTAGTAACACTGCTTCCTTAAATACCACTGATGATGTTTTCTAAAAGGAACACATCAAATATTAAAGCTGATGAAGAGCAGGGGATTCCTGTACCACAACATCTGTTTTTTCCCTTCATAATATGCCATGCCGTGTCCTGATAAAGATTTATCCACGATAACAAGCCTGAAATTGTGTTGTCATTTCCAGTACGCTCCCATTAGCGTAGCCCATCTGTCGACCATTGGAACTTTAAATATTTCAGTGAGTCATTTCCGAAGAGGCAATTATTTATTGATTCAGTTTTACTTACATTGGTGTGTTTATAGATAATCAGCAGAGATTTATCCACAATGCACCGACAAGGATGTGGAGCAAATATGAAATATATATGAAATTTGACCCTAGAGGCGGTGCAGGAACTATGTGAGAGAGACTCTGCCAGTTTCACAAGATTGGACTGGAAAGGGCCTTTGGGGTAACATGCAAGGATGACCGCACATTTCTGTCAAATAAAAACGATGTGAAAGAGACGTCTGTGAAAAGACACCATCACCTTAGGGTGTGGGACAACACAGAAACCGTAACAACACACGAGGAGGAAAAAAAGGAGAAAGACTTTCGCATGGAGACATCGTAGCTTGCAGCATCTCTTGCCTCTGACCCATCTGTGAAGGATTTGTGCCACATCACTGCACAGATTGTTGTGCAAATTGAGCGGCACTCTTTCTCACACTTTTTCAAATAGAGCAGTATTTGCATGTGGGAGTGCAGTTACCTTTGAAATTTGGTCTGATGCGAGCATCATAGCCAGATGTGCGTCCCATCAGTTTGTCCAAAAAGTCAGAGGGAGAGGGCGGCTTGACTGCCCTGCTGGGGAACTTCAGCTCCTTACATTGCACAGACCTACAGGGTGATGGGGCAGTGATGATTCACTGACATAAATATGAACTTAATGTCTAGCTTCCTAATTTGTATGAAGAAGCTAAAATTTAAGTTTGGACATTACATGCATTTTGTGATTAAAGGTGTCCTGCTGTGAATAAAATTGCAGGCTTTCTGAATAAAAGAACAATATCCATGAAATTACTTTTTTCTTTTTTTTAAGATCTGTTTCTCAAATCTTGCAAATTTAATTGGGTATTTTTACCTAATGGAACTGTTGCTTTTAATTATAGATTAAAAAATATTTAATGCATGTTTCTTTCCACTTAAAGAGAAAAAGCTGTGCCGGCAGCTTCTTTGTTAAAGAAGTATCAGAGCATGTAAGGTACAGTAACTGCCCCTTCAAATAAGCGTGCAGGCTGGCGCTTGCATTTTTGAAAGGAAAGACTTTCAAAACTATCTTACCTGCCTTGTTGAAAAATGACAAACGAAGCCCACAGTGGACACAGGATGTGCAGTAGCATTCTGAGTTGGTGGACCCAACAGATGAGAGAAAAACAGCCAAAATTTGGAAGGAAAAAAAAAAGAAAGAAAGCGAAGATGCGGAGAACTTTCAGGCGCTGGCTCCTGGAGTCAGATGAGCCTCCCTCCCTCTCTGCAGGTGTAAAATACAGGAAGCTGCTGCTCTATAATTCAAAATCCAAGGGAACTTTTTTTTTCCTCCTTCCCCTGCCTGTTTGTGTGGATCACTTCAAGCTTTATCTCTTTTTTATGGCCATATGCATGCTGAAGGAATTACTGCAAGAATTTTTAAAGGGACAGCAGCATTTTTACGGCAGAGTTGCCCCCAACGATGGTCTTCGACGCAGCCTCAGATCTGCACTTTCAAATATTTGGGATTCAAACTGTACTGCTTATAAGCACTTTTATTAAACAGATCTAATTATGAAAGTTAAACACCTATAGCTATGCTTTTTTTTTTTCTCTTTAATTTCTGGATGAACACAGCTCTGCAGGTGCTTAATCCACATTTTAAAAAACTTTAAAGAGGCATGTAAATAAGCCTGAAAACTGTATTTTAATAACAAGGGAGGAGAACCTTTACATTAAAATGACCCTTCCACCTCCTTTTAAAAATCAGGTTGTTCAAAGATACTTTTGGTGAAACTGTATTTATATTGCCATCAATTTACAAAACCACATAACATCAGCACTGAATGGGCCTCAAATTGGGCAGGAGAACAGAGAGGTAACTGCCAAGTTGGCAAGATTGTTGTTCCATGCAGAAGGGAAATAAGATAAAGGCATAATGTTCCTATTAATTCCAATGCAACACATCTCTGTGTCAGAACACATCCAGAGGGGATTTATCTTTAGCACTGCTGTTAAAAGTTTCTGGTCTAATTATTTCATCTACAAACTGCCACACAAATTCACATATAAATGCGGAAACTCATATTTGTTCCTCCACATAGAGAGGGGGCAAGCTCAGCCATTTCCTCATGTAAAATTAATGTCAGAGAAAGCGATGGGACGTAACGGCTGCACGTGTTTGCCTCACACTTGAAAAGGCCATTCTCCACTCCGCTCTGGAGCCCACAGTGTCAAATTGGATAAGAAATGTGTTGGAATATAAAACATGAATGCCTTCCTAATAACAAGAAGTCCTGAGTAAAGAAAAAAATAAAAAAAAAATAAAAAAATAATTCTGTATGCGTGCACATTTTTACCTCTGGACAAGAAAAGTAGGCCAAGCTTCATTTTAGTGATATTTTGCTGGATTGCGAACTGGATTTACTTCATTAGATCATATTACCGACGCACTGTTAAATGGAGTAGTCAGGTGCTTTTTATACAAGCTGGCTTTTCCCATTTGAAACAATAAATATGTGCTTTTGATCTGTGGTCAAATCACTATAGCCCACATGCATAACCGTAGCAAATGTAGCAAGCAGCACAAATTGATGCTCCGGTGGTTCAGATTACGATGAAGCACGCAGACTTTAACTACCGTCAAAACAATCAAAGCTCCGAATGGAGGTAAGCTTCTCGGTTGTCAGTGTCATTTTTCTAGAAGCACAACTGAAAATACAGAGATGAGTGATTTAAAAATAGCTTTTATTGCAGCTTTTTTTTTCTCCTCTGAACAAGCTGCTTTGATCACACCGACGGAAACGATGACCCATGTGCAACATTTGCAGCCTGGTGGGGGGGAATGCAGATAAGCAATCACGCGAGTTTGGTGACAGCAGAAAGATAACACAGAGACTTCTCCTAAAAGGAGGAAAAACAAGCGCAACAGATATAAATTCCAAATATGAAAATATTTCACCAACATAATTTACATTGATCCTCATTTGGTAAGTTTGACCAATTGTGTCTTAGAGAATGTGGCAATGAGTCCCAGAGTTCAGCTGTCACATGAAGCCCCACTCCCTCCCGTGCACGTTTGTCGTCCCCACAGTCTTAATCCTCGTGGATGTTGAACAGCTTGGCCACTTCGTTCAGATCTGCATGCTCTTCTCCATCCTTGATGATCTACGAATAACAGAAATAAACAATTACAACAACCGAACGGATATTTTGCTCTTGATGACACAAAGCAAAACGACAGCACTTACCTTCCTTGCAACGGGCATTCTGTTAAACACGTTCCACAGGATAATTCCCACCACCACTTTGTCTCTTAGGTAGAAGATGACTCCTTTGCCATAGTCGTCTTTGTTCTCCACGACAGGAGCAGGTGTCACAGAGGCCACCGCGCTGGTGGCTGTGTCCTCCGTTTCACTTTCTGAGCGGATCCCAGTTCCTGCCGCAGATTTGAGAACACAGACTGTCTGACCCTTTGTCCTCAAAATCATTTTTTTTCTCTCTTTGCTTGAAGGAAAAGGTTGACTGCTCCTACCTGACTCTTCTGTAGCAGCTTTAGGCGTATCCTTGGCAGTGGCTTTAGCAAACACGCCTACTGTTGGTAGGCTGCTGTCAACAATCCCGATAGCCTCGTAGCCTACATCAGGACCCAGATCACTCCTGTAAGAAGGTACACGTGATTTACTGCAGTACCACATGTAGTTGAGAACAAAGTCAGGAATCATGCATAACATTTAGTAATTCTTTGCACAAAATGTCTCATGTGTTTTCAAAGTGGGGCTTGAAAGATTTCAAGTTTAAAACTGATCTGATATCCGATTCTACAAGCATGTAGATTAAATACATAATTAAATACAAAATGTTAAACCAGGTCATGTTTGGAAGTGAGAGGGGCAGTGTTGGCAAAAGTACAGACACTCTGTACTTAAGTAGAAGTACAAATATTACTGTTAGAAAATACTCTAGTACTGTAAGAAAGTTTGACTTTTTTACTCAAGTAAAAGTAAAAAAGTACAGGCTCAAAGTAAGAAAGTAAAAGGTAGCTCTTTGGAGGATGTTTCTATTTTTGTGCAAAGCTGATTGAACCTTGTGCTATATTAACAAAATGATAAAATAATATCAGTAGATGGAAATAAAAACCTTTAGTCTATTTTCTTCTAATTGTGCTCAGCTTGAATCTGAAGAAAAAGAAGGAAAATAAAAATATACATCTATTTTCTGTTGCCTTCATTGTAGAGGGTGACTGTCTGTAAATAGGAAAATGTGTACGGTCATGAGTTAAAGTGGGATTCAGCAGGTGGGGGAACACTAAAATTGGCTGTAGTGGCCAATTTTGTGGGGAAAAGAATCATAACTCATCATCATAACTCTAATATAATTTCTACTGAGAACTCCAGTCCTTAAACTAGCAGCAAGTCTAAATCAGTTTAATTTTCAGCATGTTTCACAATATGAAAATACATATTGTCACATGTAGAGACCCAGTATCTTCTGAAAACCTACTGAGCAGTACTTTCCTTTAAATCTAACCTCTCTTCTTCCTCTCCTGTCTTTCTTATCTTTCACCATCCCTGAGTGAAGTTAGACCTTTCTTTTCTCTCCCTGTGAAATACAGCAGCTGAACCTTTAGCTAGCAACACACTGTGCGACAAACTGCACACAAATAGTTTGTGTGTTTACTGATTTTTGTTGAACTGCATTTGAAATGACCTGACACTTAAAAAAATGTCACTCCCTTTATGCTCGCTCCTCTTCTACAGGGCTAGCTAGATGCTGAAGTACCGCAACACATGGACATGTGCAGTCATTGGTGTTGTGGCAAAAACAAAAGCCACCGTTCCACTTTCAACCCCTGACCTTGGCACACGCCATCTCTTTTTATGCAACATCCTCTGGTGATTAATCAACAAACAGGACTGCCTTTCATGTGATTCTGTTTAGGCTCAAATCGGTTTGATGTTTGGACGCTGGCAGGACCAAAATAGTAACTTACCCCCAAATGCATTAAACCAAAAGTAACACGTCTCTTTTGAAATGTAGAGTAGAAATTACAGATTTTCATTTAGAAATGTAGGGAGAAACCTAAAGTAGATACCTGAAAATTGTATTTAAGTATTTAACTTAAATGGATTTAACTTCCCACGTCTGGGGGGGGGAATGATTCAATATTAGTATGTGTAAAAGTGTAGCCCTGCCTGCAGTATCTGGTATGATTCTCTTGTGAAGAAATAACAGCAACAAAATGTTTACAAAAATTGTTGATTGGTCCATGACATCGGCTTGGAGGAATTTTCGCCCATTCTTCCGTAAAGAACAGCTTCTATTCTGGGATGTCGGTAGATTTCCTTACACGAACTGCTGCCTTCCTCCATCATTTCTGGTGGATTAAGGTCAAAACTGTAACTCAGCCATACAAAGCTTTATTACTCTCCAACTATTCTTGGTACAATAACTTGTGTGCTCCGTGTCGTCATTTGGATGCGTGACCCACTTTCAGCTGAGATTCGGTTCACAGGCAGATCTCCTGACCCTTTGCCTTCAGAATTTCCCGGAAGAATACAGAATTCATTGCTCTGATGGAAAGCCGTTCTGGCACAGTCCCAAGCCATGATGGGCATTATGGTGCAAAGCAGTGTTTCCCTTCCTCCAGAAGCAAGCTTGTTTAAACCTCTAAGCTTTATTTTGGTCTGATACAAGTATTTCGAACAGCCTTCTGACTTGTCCTTGTGATCTTTAAGCAATGCTTATGCTATTGCCTCACTCCCACAGATATTCAAGGAAAATAATTATTTACAAATATAAAAGAAGAAGCCCTCTCACATCTGACTGCTATCTCACTGTCTGGCGACGCTTAACTGTAATTTAACACTCACATTAACCGATGTTCCTTAAAGTTCACATCGCCCCTCCCTCCTCAGATATGCTACAATAGACAATTTCTCTCAATAATTAATAACTCGATTTGGCATTGTCTGATTTGTTAATTCAGCTTTTTCTTTTTCCTTTTTTTAAAATCTACTTTTAAAATTTGTGCTAAAATCTGGTCAAGTTTTAGAGAATATATGTAGAAAACTAAAGGGTAGACAAACTTTGGAGCACCACTGTATAATTAAACTAGACAGTCATTTTGTGCCAAGAAGTGTCACCTAGGATTTCTATGCCAAGAACATTTTCCTCACATCTCTGTTGGAAGTAGTTCTGCTGAAGTGAAACAAATGCCAGCTTTTTAAAACTTTACTGTCAAAACAGCTTCCTGAATACTGTGTGTATGCTTATATACCTCAGACAGCTCCCATCTGAAACACAAGCACTGCTGAGGGCTGTAATCTTCAGTGACAAACCCCCACCGCTGCTGCCTGATGAGTTTTAAGACCTGAAGTGATGTCAGAGTCACCTGACCTTGACAAATTGAAAGGTTGCACAGAGAGCTTGTACAAAACTGCAGAGCCGGCCAGAACTATGCTTCGTTGATATTTATATGGAATCTGTTGGTACATCTCTTTATATTTTACATGCAGCATTTGAGCATAAACAGATGAACTTTTCAAAAGTTACTGACTATACTTTATAATTATATAAATATGAAGGACTAGTTAATGGAGCTGTGGTAGTTGGACAAATGTTCCTGTGTACTTTTTCTTGGACTGCAGTGAACCCATGTTTCAACAGTGTGTCACATTTCACCAGCTGCTAGCAACATGTATTCACAACATTCATTTGGGTCCTGAGAGTTGCATTCCACACTGTACTTACATTTTTGGTAACTCCCTTAATATCTGGAGTCCTACTGTGATCTTATTTATAATGTCTAACATATGCATGTCCAAGGTCATAAAGTTTGATTGTTTTTAAGCTTTAAATCGAATATTTAACCTTGTTAACCAGTCCGTGTGCTTTTTCATACATGAGAAAAAGTACACAGTCATCGAGTCGAAAGTTTTACTTATTAGGAAATAATAAAGCAATTACAGGTCTTACTTACGAGGTTCTAAAATGATTTAAATACAACCTCAGATGAAAATGAATCAATCACATGTTACACCATGTGATTGATTAGCAAAGAAATCTGCCAAAAGCACTGTGTGAAAAGCTAAATAAGCTTAACGCGCTTGATTAATCAGAAAGTGTGAGCCCCTCTGTAAAGGCACAGGTTTTAGCGTTACACGATGGCAAGGAGAAGAGACATCAGCAGTGATCTCAGTGATCGTTGTTGTCCACAGGTAACCAAAGGAATCAATGCCATCACCATTAGCAACATACTGGAAGCTGCCTGATGACGTGGGCAAGCTGAATGTTTTTCCCCCCATTGTGCCTTTCATTGTTTCATTTTAGCTCAGTTTAAGGATTTTCTGCTCGTTGTTTTACCATGTGTGTCACAGTAAAACAGACAATGAAGCATAGGAGAGAAAAGTTAAGTGAAGACAATGTTGCCTTCATTATATTCTGTAAGTATAATAAAAGCACCACGTCTAAATCTGTCAAAATGCTGTTTGTGGTGACAGTTTCAGTTTTAAACGGGGAGCCATTGCCCAAAGTGCTCCAGAAACTGTTGATGTTGTTTCTTATGCGCTCTGTGACCTTGTCTCCCTTGACCTGCTGGAACAGTACCCTGTCTTGATCAAGACCTCCTGATTTATAATTTAAGCACTGGCTTTTTCTCATCTGTGTAAGAGAGTTCAGTGGGGTGGATCAGCACACATATACACGCACATATATGCATGCATAGTTAGTGAGGCAAATATAAAGCATTTTATTGCAAGATGGTATTATTTATTTTTTATCGAATTCTGATGAACAGAGATGACTCTTCGGGGGTTTAAAGTCTCTCTCGGGATGGATTTAATGTCCCCTAAAGACATTTTAATGGTTAATGGTTTTCAACTTCAAAGGAATCATGTATGTTGATCTGACCTCTAAAAGGATTACATCGGAGTCCCTTGCACCACTGCACATGCTCTCTGATTTAAATGCATTCAGTGCAATCAAAAATTAAGACTGTTCTCGCCTTCACAAACTCTTTCCTTCATTTCCACTTAAAAGAAGTTTTCATGGTTTGCATCCACAGGTCTCATTTGGGGAGGGGTGAGAAAAAAAAAAAGACTTTATAGCCCATAGTAAGTAGAAGTAGTAAAAAGTATGATACCTACCAGAACATGGACTGATGCCAGTAGGGTTTGCTGGCTCCCGTCATGTTCTCTCCAGCTAGTCTACCACTCACAACAGCGTGATCGTGGTGCTCCACACGTCTGCGACCCAGTCTGATGTCATAGAAACACGCAGCATCTCCTGCCTACATCAACAAGAATCGATTGGGAACATGCAGTATGGCTTAGATTATGCAGTTTTTATTTCATGTTAACAGGCACTGACAATATTTTCCTAAAACACAACATTACATTCAAAATAGGACATTGGGATTACACTACAATTTTAATTACACTGTTTTATATTAGGACTAAGACTTGATTGAGCCTGAAGAGGGCGCTTTAATCAAAAAGAAGACAAAATCATCATTGTGCATCGGTTGGTCAAAATGTGGTGGTTTTGGTTCAAACAAGCGATAACAATTATTCCTTTGTCCAAAATGATCAGTGAAACTAGAGGTATGAGCACAATGGGATAATAATTAAGTTAAGACTTTCCCACAGGTTTGAAATTTCTACAAAAGTGACTTTAACTAAATTACTCAGCATTTTCTAGGATTTTATAGGCAAACCAGCAAAGCACAGCACAGGAACTTTTAAAGAGGGATTTTTAATCACAGCTCTTCAGGATCTTGTTAGCAGAAAACATCGTATGAACATTAACTTACCACCCAAATATTGGACCTCGCTTGCAGCTCTGCGTTTACCCGGTAGCCACCAAAGTCAGAGTCCACCTCCAGACCTCCTGAATTAGCAAGGTCAACATTTGGCTCTAGGCCAACAGCTGTAACAATGTGATCAGTTTTCACCTACAAAAATAAAACGATAGATAATAAGCAGCTTATAAATAAATTCAATGTCCTGATTCTGTCAGAGTTTGTGTAGAAATCTGAACCTACCAATCTACCATCCTTTAGATGGATTTCTAATTTGTCATCTTTGCAGGTCACAGACTTCACCAAAGCTTCTGAAATAATCTTTACACCCTCTATGAAAACAGGCAAGACATCATAATATAATGAGACACATAAAGAACATTTTTTGTCTTTGGAGACTTATATGAAATAAAGTTGGACCTTTCTTGACTTTTTCTGTTGTCCAGTTGCTCAGATACTCGGGTAGCACTTTTCCCATGTTACCCTTCTCAGGGAACATCTGTATCACCTCCAGATCTGACTCAGTAGCTAAAAAGAGAAAGAGGAAGAACAACAACTAAGAAAAGAGTTACTTATGCTGGACATCAGTGTTCTTATCTACTCTGCTAGTTTCTCAGCTCGTCATCTGTTCTTACATCTCCTGCCAAGGGCACAAGCCAGCTCGCTGCCCAAGAAGCCACCTCCAATGATAGTGATGGATTTTACATTCCTCGAGACCTTATCCAGAGATCTGAAGTCCTCAATCTGTGGGAAAAACAAAAAACAAAAACTGAATTTAGAGCAACAGTCAGATTTTTTTATGTAACACACAGTAAGACTTCTGTCTGGAAAATCTCAATGCTTGTAATGATCTAAATCAAAAAAGACAAAACTTTTTTATTTTCATTTTAAAATAGTTAATATTTCCTTCGTGGTATGCCTTAACACTCACTCCAACAAGCTGTATATACATACTATCAGCCACAGATGGTTAGAGTGAAACATCTCTACCACCCCCTTGTGGCTACACACTGACCTTGCGGAACAAAGTGGTTCTCCTCATCACTTCCTCTCCTGCTCTTTCAATGACTTGGAGATTTCTTGGCACACCACCTGAGAAAGATAAAATTAGCTTCTACCAGGTTTAAGTGATAAAAACAGACAAGAAATAAAACAAGGGAGTTTACCTGTAGCAATCAAACACTTGTCATATGAAATCTCAGTGTCATCGTCCAGTTTTACTTTGTTTCCTCTCACATCCATGTGAACCACCTATAAAAAAATAAGTATACCTCATGAATAACTTCTGCTTTCCAGGTTTAGACATCATAACACATAATGCTTGCAAATCGGTCAATATAATTACTTCTGGTCTTAATACTTCACTTTTATTCAGTATAATTTTATTCATGTACTGAATAAAATTATGGAGACTGAGGGAAAAAAACCCATAAATCTACCTTTTTCCCAGTGAGAACAGCCACTCCTCCATTTTCTACACTATCCAGCTCTTCTGGGTTAATGTAGAATGATGACGGCTGGAAGTAGATGCTAGCAAATAAATACAAAAGTATTAAAATGACTAAACCACTGAAAAAGAAAAAAGCTTCTCAGAAATGTTTATAGAGTACATATTCCGTTTTTTACGACAATACCAGGTGTTTAAAAAAAAAAGTCTATCACCTCTTTGTAGAGAAACCGCAAGATTTGTTTGGTATTAACATTTATTAAAGGGAAACAGCAGTAAAATAGAGACGTTAGTAACAACCAAATTTTATAAGTAAGATCATCAGGGATGTCTCAGTGTTCCTACAAATTTTAAAGATCAGAATGACTGCATTTCAGACCGAGCAATGTTGAAATAATAAATTATAAGCAGACATTTATAAACAAGCCATGGATACAAGTTTGGTATACAATAGCACATTATTATAACAGCACATTTTAACCGTTAACTGTTCCAAACATTTTGCTGCACACTGAGCCTAAAGAAGTCTCTTTAGGCTAAATTTGGGTGACAGTGCAGTGCTTAGTAATGTCGCCTCACAGCCAGAAGGTTGTGGGATTGAACATCTAAGCTTGGCAGTAGGGCTGGGCCATATTATACCGTTCACGGTAATACCGGTATAATGTTAGGCAACGATAGGAAA